TGGGAGTCCAACAACTAGATCATGCTTTATCAATTTGTTTAGATGCTCCATGTGAATGTTAGCAAATCTTTTATGCCAAATCCATGCCTCGTTGTTGTTTGCCATAAGACACTTTACCTTCAAGGAAGAGTTATCAAAAGAAATTATAAAAATGTTATTATATCTTTTACCTTTTAGCAAAATGTCATGAGTGACTTCATGTTCTATCAAGCATTCCTCCTTTGTGAAGTTGATTCGGAACCCTTTGTCACACAATTGACTTATGCTAAGTAGGTTGTGTTTAAGGCCTTCCACATAAAGAACGTCTTCGATGATTGTACATGGAGGTGCACCAATGGTTCCGACTCTAAGAATTTTTCCCTTATTATCATCACCGTAAGTGACGTATCCTTTGGCCTTTAATGATAGACTTGAAAATTTGTTTATGTCTCCCGTCATATGCTTCGAGCAACCACTATCAAGATACCATTGATTAGTGGTTGTCTTCAAGCATACCTACAACACAAAATCAGGTAGTGTTAGGTACCCAAATTGCTTTGGGTCCTTGATAGTTAGTACCTTTTCAACCCACACATAATGCCCCTTAGCAACACCAATATTGCGCACATAGCAAGCATTAGGTGTATGGCCTTTAATTCCACAATAAGAACATGTAGGTTGAAAATGACTTCTATATCTAGGAACATAATTCTTTTTCTTTGCAATGCTTTTCTTGTTATGATTTTGATGCTGAACTTTAGAAGTGCTGACCTTTTCTTTAACAATTTGTTCACTTGCTCTTATGAAAACGGTCTCATTGGTGCTTGGTTTTGAAAATTTAGAATATCCTAATCCACTTTTATCATTACGATATCTTTGATGTTTCAGAATTTCTTCCAAGCCAATTTGACCTTTTTCGTATCTTTCTAAAACTCTTTTGAGTTGAACAATTTGGAAGGATAAAGACTCACACTTCTTACATACAAGACTTTGTTTTTCATCCATCAGTTTCTGTTTTTCATCTTTAATATTTTTCATAAAAACAGAGTTTGTTCTTCTAAAGATGAGATTCTTTTCTTTTGTGATGAGATGTTTTTATACAAAGTCTTGCACTCTTTTAGAAGTTCATCTATAACTTCTTGTGCATCATTATCATAAACAGAAAAATTACTACTAACCTCATTTTCTTCATCGGAGTGGTGAGAGGCCATTAACGCCATGTTTGCACATTCATCGTTTTCCGATTCCGATGATGAACTTACTTCGTTGTCGTCCCATGCGACATAAGCCTTCTTCGTTTTGAAATCCTTCTTGCCTTTGAATTTTCCTTTATTTGCGAGTTTCGGACAATCTGGCTTTATGTGACCTTGTTTCCCACATTCGTAACATGTAATTTATTGGTTTGATGTGGGTGCCTCCTTTTTCCTGAAATGTCTATTCTTTTTAGAAAAAGAGGAAATTTTATTATTATTAAAAAACTTACCAAGCTTCTTTACTAGAAGCATGAAATTTTCGTCTTCGGAAGATTCATCATTTTTGTCATCCCTTGTGTCAATCTTCAAGGCAATTCCTTTGGACTTCTTGTCTTGACTTTCATGCTTCTCAAGCCTTCCAAGTTCTAGTTCATGCTCTTGAAGTTTGCCAAATAAGGGAGCGGATGTCATTGTTGAAAGACTCTTCTTTTCCGAAATAGCGGTCACCTTTGGTTGCCATTCTCTTGTTAAGGATCTTAGGACTTTCAAGTTGAGATCATCATTGGTGAAGGTCTTCCCGAGGGCAATCAGATGATTAGTTAGATGAACGAATCTCTTTTGTAAGGCAACAATGGATTCACCAAGCTGCATACAGAACATTTCATATTCTTGACTTAAAGTATTAAGTCTTGATCTTTTTACTTCGGTTGTCCCTTCATGCGTTTCTACCAAGGTGTCCCAAATTTCTTTTGCTGATTTACACTGTGATATACGGAAGAATTTTTCCATACTGAGAGCGCTTTGAAGTATGTTGATTGCTTTCTTCTCATTCAAAATTCTCTTCTTGTCATCTTCATCATATGAGGATTTTATCTTTGAAGTGCCTACGTTATTTATGACGCTCATAGGAACATGCGGGCCAGTTTCTACGGTTTTCCATATACCATCTCCTTGAGCCTCAAGATGTGCCTTCATACGGATTTTCTAAAAATCGAAGTATTCTCCAGAAAAGAGTGGTGGCTTGTTACTGCTTCCACCATCTTTGAAAACCGGGTTAGTACTAGCGGAAGCCATTAGGATCGATAGGAACATGTTACCTTAACCTGCTCCGATACCAATTGTAAGTACAGAGTATGCCTAAGAGGGGGGAGGGTGAATTAGGCTTTAGGGACTTTTTCCGGTTTTTTGGTATTCTTTAATTTTTCTTTGGTTAGGTTCTTGGTGATTAATGCAGTAGAAAGTAAAAGGAAAGTGGACACCAAGATTTATAGTGGTTCCCCTCACAATCCGAGAGTACTTCACTTCCCTTTCGACACGAAAGAGAATTTTCACTATTGTTTAATAAAGTACAACCTATCACACCATCAACCGGTGAGGCCTACTATCAAACAATAAAAATCAACAAGTGTACAAGAACAATCCTCTTGTAAACACTCACCCTTGTGTCCAACAATCCTGGATCACAAGTCAAAATACAAGTAATCTGAATACTTTGATTTGAGAGTAATAATGGTAATATCAATGCTGAGATTGATCTTCTCCTTCTGATCAAAATTCACTCTTTTAATTTCAACACAAGTGTTCAATGCTATGCATATGAAAGATATGATCAATATGAACACTTTTGAAAAGATTTGAAAAGTATTTGAAAGTGGTGAATTTGATTCAAAGAATATTTTGAAATTGATTATTGGAGGTTGTTTTTCCAATTTGAAAAACTCAAAATTTATATGTGTAAACACACCTTTTCCAAAAGGTATATTTGAGTATAATTCAAAATATGAACTGGTATAATATTCAAACCATTTTTGAACTTGAAACAAAGCCATTTTTCAAAATACGTTCAGTGTTAATCGGTTAACCTATATGGTTAATCGGTTAACACTGGAACGTTATACCAGAATATTTAAATTTTGAAATGGTTAACCGGTTAACCTATATGGTTAATCGGTTAACACTGCTATTTTTCATAAAAATGCTTATAAAAACAATGTTATACCAATTCTAATAGTTTAAAAAATATGCTTATGCAATGTGATCAAATGATAAAGATGTTGAACACTTGTATATCAATTAAATTAATGGATTTTGATATACCATAGCTTGTGTCCAAAACTTGAAAGTTGATCAGTCAAATGTTCATGAAGCTTTGAATGTTGATCACTTCCATTCCACTTGATCTTGGTCTTTTGAAAGTGTTTGCCTTTTTGCACAGATGAAATATTCTTGATCTTGATGTTGACGTCATCAAAACTTTGAGATGAAGCTTGCTTCTACACAGATGTCGCGTTCCCGTGCCTTTGTCCCGCTCAGGGGAACCAGACGGTCGACCCTTATAGAGTCTATCTCGATCACCTGACTGTTGAGGACATCTGCTACAACGTCTATGCTGATCACCGCGTGACGCGCCCGTTTGACGACATACCACTATACTCAGGATGGTTGCTATGGAGTTCAACCATCATTGTTTCATATTTGCCCGAGTGCGTCATGCAGCAGTTCAAGTACACACAGACACCCAGCTGTCTTCGTTCCTCTTGGCTCGACCCGTATGCAGGTAGAGAAGATTTATGCTGACTACCAGAGGCACATGGTACCGAACGAGGCTTGGGCGACCAGAGCGCTAAGAGACTGGAGCTGCGTTGATGGCTACATCATATGGTTCTTCACCGTCTCACACCCCTACATGGTGCTCACTGCAGAAGGATCACCGTCCATACCATCTCATCAGGAGATATCTTAGAGGAGCAGCAGTCTCAGTTGGACCACACTCAGGATGTCCTGTCTCACTGTCGTCAGATAATGGAGATGAGGCGGGCAGGCATTGCCGTCGGTTTCTTTCCTGAGGGGTCTGACCACAAGCGTGTATTGGATGAGATGATTGCAGTGGCAGAGAGGGCATTTATGTACCGCAGGCATCGTGCCAGGACAGGTGGGATCGATGATTGAGAATGCATACCGGGCGGTCGAGGAGGCGGTAGAGGCAGATGAGACGGGAGAGGCATTGATAGAGGAGAGGATGCAAATGTTGTCGGGCACACACAACAGTGTCTGTGATGTATTTTTGATGTACTATATTTTGATGACATTGATATATTATTTTTTTATTATGATTATATCATATTACTTATTTTATGTATTATTTAAATTTAACAAGATTTAATTTGAAGGGGAAAATGGTGTCTTGAAATTTTACTTTTAATTTTTTTAACACGTATTCTTTGTAAAAGCTAAGCAGGAAACAAAGAAGAAAGTGATACAGAAGCCATCACTGAGTCTTACGCGTCAAAGTCAATTGTCTCCTTGTTTTATTGTAGAACACAATATTTGAATATATTCCAAGCTATTAAAGGAACCTAGATTTATTAGTTTATCATAATCTTTACTTATCAATCTCCTCAAATACTCTCAATCAATTGGAATAACCACTTGGGTTCATTAATCTGGTTTACAACTTTGCACACTGTGTCATCTAAGCTGTTTAGCAATAGTCGTTGAGCTATATACAATCAGACTCAACCGACACCTTTAAAAAAAATGTGTGTCACTGTTTGTGCCCGTATCGGACACTTCCAGTAACACTTGAAGTTATTATCGGTGTCGATGTGCTAGTGTCAACATTGTTTTCGGGGTGTCCATATTTCATAGTTGTTATATTTTTATTCTAGAAAATTTTGGTCTTATGCTTACAAGTGGCAATAAACTATAGTACTAATCATTTGGAAAAGAAAAAGATAAGAAGAATAGTTAGTAAACAATGGCTGCCCATTGGAAGCTCATAAAGTAGTTTCATCTCTGCAAACTTCAGCTGAACCATAGTTCCCAATAATGGCTTTTGCAGCACCAAAAACAACACACGTCTTGTTATCTATTTTCTTACTCTTCAACTTCATTATTCCATATGCATTCTCTTTGACCTTTAACTTCACTAGTTTTGATCCTAATGACAAAACCATAATCTATGAAGGATCAGCAAATCCTGCTTCATCAGCTATCGAACTTACAATAAACCAACAAGGTAAGCTCATGAATGGAAGCATTGGTAGAGCCACATATTACCGACCTATCCACCTTTGGAACAAAACCACAAACAATCTCACAGATTTCACATCTCATTTTACCTTTGCTATAAATTCACAGAATAGAAAAAACTATGGAGATGGGATTGCATTTTTCCTTCAACCTTCTGGTTCAAAGAAGCCTAATGCAACAAAAGGAGGTTCTATGGGTTTAACTCTTGATAACCAAGCATTGAACTCAACTGAAAATCCATTTGTTGCTGTGGAGTTTGATATCTATCGGAATCGCTGGGATCCGCCTCTGGAACATGCGGGAATCGACATCAACTCTATGAGATCTGTCGCTAATGTGACATGGTTGGCTGATATCAAACAAGGTAGACTCAATGATGCTTGGATCAGTTACAATGCTAGTTCACTAAATCTAAGTATTATATTCACTGGTTTTGATAATGTAACTTTTACCACTGTGAAACAACATTTATCTGCCATAGTTGATCTCAGGCTTTATCTGCCAGAATTTGTTACTGTTGGTTTTTCGGCTGCCACAGGAAATGCAACTGCTATTCATAGTATCTCTTCTTGGGATTTTAGCTCAACTTTGGAAGCACAACAAGATAGCAACAAAACAAACACACAGGACCCAGTTGCAAGTTCTCCATCCTTCAACGCATCTCCTAGTAAGAAGAAAAAGGCCATGACAGGACTAGCAGCCGGATCGGGAATTGGTGGATTTGTTTTGTTTGGGGTGTTGGGTTTTGTTTCAGTTGTTTTCTGGAAAAAGTGGAAGAAAGGAAAGGAAGAGGAAGATGGTGAATTTGAAGAGTACATGGGTGAGGATTTTGGAAAAGGGACAGGACCCAAGAAGTATACATATGCAGAACTAGCACACGCAGCTAATAATTTCAAAGATGAACATAAGCTAGGACAAGGAGGATTTGGAGGTGTTTATAGAGGTTTTCTTAAAGACACAAAATCTTATGTGGCCATTAAGAGGGTGTCAGAAGATTCTCATCAAGGGATAAAGGAGTTTGCGTCAGAAGTAACAATTATTAGCAAATTAAGGCATAGAAACCTAGTGCAGTTGATTGGTTGGTGTCATGAAAAGAAAAAGCTATTGCTTGTATATGAGTACATGCCAAATGGTAGTTTAGACTTTCATCTTTTCAAAAAAGAAAGCTTTTTGAAATGGGCTGTTAGATATACAATAGCTAGAGGCTTGGCTTCTGCATTGTTGTATTTGCATGAAGAATGGGAACAATGTGTTGTACATAGAGACATAAAAGCAAGCAACATAATGTTGGATTCAGAGTTTAATGCAAAACTTGGAGATTTTGGTTTAGCAAGGTTTGTGGATCATGCAAAAGGTGGACAAACAACAGCTTTAGCAGGGACCATGGGATACATAGCTCCTGAATGTGCTACCATTGGAAGGGCTAGTAAAGAAACAGATGTGTATAGTTTTGGAATTGTTGCTTTAGAGATAGCCTGTGGAAGAAAACCTATAGAAAATAAGACTCAAGAAAATGAAATAAACATTGTGGAGTGGGTTTGGGGGCTATATGGAAGAGGGAGTATTCTTGAAGCAGTAGATCCAAGACTAAGTGGAGATTTTGACGAGGAACAAATAAAGTGTTTGATGATTGTTGGTCTTTGGTGTGCTCACCCTGATCCTAATAACAGGCCTTCAATAAGACAAGCTATTCAAGTGCTTAATTTTGAAGTTTCACTGCCTAATCTTCCATCAAGTATGCCTGTACCAACATATCTTGAGGGGCCTTTGAACTCATTCACAGTTCCATTCCGCATAAATGGTTCAGAGCAAGAATATAATAAGTTTTAGTTCAAACACAAACTCAACTAGTTCTGATGTTTCTAATCCTATGTCGCTTTTGTATTCTAGATAAAATTAGTTTTATTTTTATCCATCTTTTTCTTGAATGTATTTAAAACTCATCTTTTATGTACATCTTTTCTTAGAAAGAAATTTAGATATGAAGTACTAAGCTAATTTCATTGACACAATCAAAATCATAATCCAGTACTACAAATTAATGAGATGTGAAATACAATTTAGAATCTTAGATGACAACTAAAAAAAAAAGAGACCGCTCATTTTAAAATATCCAAACATAGCCTAAAATATATATGAAATACAATATCTATTTCTCAATTAACTCTATAGATGAGAATACTGTGATTCAAAACTTCGATTAACAGAATGAGTTATCTTTGGATTGATGGAAAATAACAGAGTAGAATGGAGCGGAATGAAATATAGATCTCACTTTATTATTTGATTATTTTATTAAAAATATTTGATTCCATCACATACATTCCAAATTGGATGAACAAAAAATGAGAATTTGGATGGAATGAGATGCAATGGATTTCATCATATTTCATCACATTCCATCAATTATTTGCATATCTAAACAATGAAATCACATTAGTTACCACTTCATTCCATTTCATCCCATGCTATTAATTCAAACATACTCTGAAAATTTTCAAAATAGTTGTTTCTTTTAGTTGAATATTCATAAACCACATTGTAATAACATTCAGGTCCCCTAAACTATAAGATCCCAAACTGGATATGAATAATCAAATTTAATTATTCGTTCTGTTTGCTTTCATGTTCAAACTAACCTGTTGATCTAAAGAATGAGAAGCTAGGAATGTCATATTTTGTGGGAGAATCCATTGATATCTCAACTTCCACGACAAAATCCTTCTTCAAAAATTAGGATAAGTTCATTCTTTTTGTAGCACTAAACATTGAGTTTTATCAAATTTCTATGCCTCAATTGACTAATGATATTCACTTCTACTAAGTATTGTTGTAACAAGACCAAAAACCCCTCCATCTTCTATATAATTTGATGGGGAAACCACTTTTGAAAATTTAAAAATGAACTTTTTTTTTCGGAGATGTATATTTAAAAATGACTAACAAAAAATTGAATAAAATACCATCTTGTATGATCTTCTTCATATTCAAACAACACTCCATTTTTAAAACCTTTAAAAAGATTTCTTTTATTCTCAATTAACTCTTCAACACCAAAATATCATTTTTATATTTCATCACATCATAGAAACAAAACAAGGTGGAATTGAAGATAAAGTTCATTCATTTCATCTCTCATTCCTTGCATTAATCTTGTTTATGACCGAAAAATGAAAGTTAAATCCAGATATGCATCTCCGAACAAAGTTTGGTATGGTCTGAATGTGTATATCCAAATTGTCCTGATAGTTTGATTTTTAACATTGTTTTTCTGTTATTGGTGATATTAGATATGCTGCATTCAGATATATTTCTCAAATCAATTGTGAATGTGAATGATAACTGGTCGAAGTGAAACGTGATTTAAAACCGAATGAAGTGAATGATGATGTTCAACCAGATGAAGCGAATGATGATGTTCAATCGGGTGCTTGACCAATTGTTGTTGTGATTTTAATTGTATGTTATGTTAAGTCTCGAGTTCATTGCTCCGCAGAATAGTTTATTTTTCAAGGTTGTGCTCGGTTTTATTAGACGTCCCTAGGATTGTGCCCGACCAAGGGTTGGCGCACCTTTCTTGTCCCTAGGTGAAAACCCGATTCGAAGTTGACGTGGTAGGACTCACCTCAGCCTCTGGAATGGCTAGCTACCAAGAGAGAGGTGTGTTTGTTATTTCCACTTTGTGGTCATTGCCTTTAATTTGCACTCGCAATGTGGGGTTTTGATTGCTTTTTTTCGTAAGCTTGAAGCGTTTTTGACACCGCACTATCGTCGACTTCTATGGGGTTTTGACTACTTTAATTTTATACCCTAAAAATTATAGTATCCTTTATGACAGAAGAAAAAAAGATAAGTTTTAGAGAAAATATATTTATTCTTGCTGAGAAAATGTCATTACATCGTAATAGTAATTTACATTTTATACATGAAATAAGAGAAAATTTAATCAAGTAGGTTGACCACTGCTTATTGTCCTCCGGCTCCCTGAGGTGAATTAGTGTGTCCGACTTCAATCTTTAACTGAGGCCACTTTCTGCAACTTCACATTATGGTTATTTGTAACGTACCTGTCAAGAACCCTTGTCCCTTTTTTCGGTAGGTCTAATTGCCATTTCCCCTATTTATCTGATGAGGGATGCTATGTTAATCTCCATTGCCTTTTCCTTGTCATTTTCGTTCTGATCGTGTTGTATGGCCTTTTGTGTCCTCCGAACAGGCCATGAATTGTAAATTAATTTTCATGGTGTCCCTCCGTTCTCCTACAGCGAGCATCAGTTTAATGCACCCTTAGGGGCGATTCATTAGGCCATTGAAAGCCTGCATATCAAATCTTTTATATGACTACAACTTCTTTTTTCTCAACTCAAGTTTTTCAAAAAGCTCTACATACATGACGTGGCAAGAGCTTTCACCGTCAATGATGATCCAGGACACATCACAGTTATCCATGGAAGCTGTTATCACTTTGGAAAGATCTCGTTTAGGATCCCTCCCCCTTTCTCACTATCCAAGAATCTGAGAATAAACCTTTCCTGCTTCCTTTCGAATTAGCCACTTCTTCCTTGCTAACAACCATTAACTCATCGATTCTTCTTTTAATTGTTCCTTTTGAAGGGTTACTCGGCCTAGGGAGGCTGCCTGTGATAGAAGCACTGTGATGACATTTTACCTTTCGGTCATCCTCTTTTTCACTACTGATGTCCCTTTTTCCCTTGGCTTCAACTACTGCTTCAATGGCCTTCTTGGAGGAGGACTTTTTTCCTTCTTTAACCAAAAGCTCCTCTTCCTAGTTCATGTAGGATTGCGCCCTACTCAGCAAGTCATTTAAACTACAAGATCCCTTGAGCTCTAGTTTCTCTCAGAACATACAATTTGGCCTCATACCCTTCTTGAATATCCATCACTTTAGTCCATATTCTATACCTCACTTTAGTCCATATTCTATACCTTCTATTCATGTAGGGTTTCTTTCTTCCCTTATGTGATCCCACTTAGCACCGCCATGGTTGTTAGTTATCGTTTATGGGAGGTAAAAAATGTTGGAAAATTTGGTGTGATAATCTTGGATATCTTCGAGGAATCGTGTTCGTACACTTTCCGAACAAAGTATTTCGACCATATTAGTTATCGTTTATGGGAGGTAAAAAATGTAGGAAAATTTGGTGTGATAATCTTGGATATCTTCGAGGAATCGTGTTCGTACACTTTCCGAACAAAGTATTTCGACCATATTATTTGTCTGGTTCACGAAATCTTTGTGGGGATAATTCTTTGAAGAACAATCTGTTTTTGGCAATAGAAAATAGATCAAGAATGTAAAGAGAATATGAATTTTGTTCAGTATATAAAACTGAGGCCAAATGACTCCTTATATAGGAGATTAATTAACAGAAAACGAAAAGGGACATCTGTTCAAAATTTTTGAACGGGTTCATCTTTTCAAATTTAATTTCGAACGGGTTCAAAACTTAACAGAAAACTTTCAGAAAAATTTTCGCCCCTTGGAACCCCAGCAGGGCGCTACCCCGCATCCCGCCAGGGGCTTCTTTTCAATTATTTGCATTCAATTGTACGTTGGCTCGACGAGCGTGCACTCCGCACTACGCTAACTCGTTTCCAAACTTAACGTATAATTGCATCGACCTACAGTAAATCACATTGCTACTAAAATACATTGATGATACTAAAATCACCAACATAAAATAGAGTTAAAGAGTCACATATGTCCTTCAATGAGTCAGTGCTTTAATTTATAAGAGTCTTATACCACGTCACGACATCTCCGGTGAGGGTTAGTGCAAAAATATTACATTTTAACCCATTTTGTTTTGCAGTATGATCATCTAGGAATGGTGTGTTGGTTACCGATGACGCCTCCCCTTCCCTCAGAGTCCGAGGGAGGAATTTGGTGTCCCAAAGGCTCATGATACCACTGGACTTTCAACTAGGGAGCATTGAACATAGTGAGACTTTTTTCTAGAGCAACCTTTGTGAGACACACACCACATACTCACCCAAAACCTTAAGGTGATAGGTGTATGGGTTCTCTCACTTATAAATGCTCAAGTCACCACATTTCTATCCAATGTGGGACTATTATCCACCCTACTCACACTTGTTAATACTTAACACTCTCCCTCAAGTGTGAGTCTATCCCAATGCTCTCCCTTAAGCGGAAACTTTAACTGTGCAACTGCACCTTGTACCGTCGTTGACATTCTTCAACGAGACACTCAACCCACGACCTATGGGAATACTTTCGATACAAGTAAGTTATTCCCTTTATTCGAACCAAAGGCTCTGATACCACTGTTGGACTTTCAACTAGGGAGCATTAAACATACATAGTGAGACTTTTTTCTAGAGCAACCTTTGTGAAAGACACACCACATACTCACCCAAAACCTTAAGGTTTTGGGTGAGTATGTGGTGTGTCTCTCACAAAGGTTGCTCTAGAAAAAAGTCCCACTATGTTCAATACTCCCTAGTTGAAAGTCTAACATTTTTCAGGACCACCAAATTGTACATGTTGTCAATAGGTCAATGGTTCCGTGCATGCTTAATTGACTTGTAGCTGTTGGAGGATGGAATCATCTCATATCCATGTACGAGAGGTTGAAAAGGAAGTTGGTTTTAAGGTTCACCTTGATAAGGCGGAGGCAAAGGTTAAAAGGTTGGAAAACTTGGAATTCTCCTTTATTGATTCTTGATTCTTGGTTAAGCCAAATCACGTGGCGTTGGAATAGAGGGAGAAGTTACTAAGAGTGGACCGTCCATCTCCTGTAGAGGAGGATGAGCTCTACTAGTTTCAATAGTGGCTTTGGCAGATCGAGTTACTTTTAAATTCAATATAGCTTCAGAAGTACGTTATCAAGTTTTTCGAGAAGAGATCGATGTCCGTGACGAAATAGTCAAAGATTTTGATCTACGACAGAGAAACAATTGTTATTTGTGGAACTCATATGAATCAGAAGTCAATTTCCGCAGACAACGTCGATGTTCCTCTTGGGAACCAAAAATTATCAGTGAGATGGCGAGATGAGATATTGGATTGGTGGAGCAAGTTTCCAATACGACGGAGAGGGGACTGACCTACAAGGTTAACACTCTAATGCCCAAGTCACTGAGAGAATATAGAGTATTGTGAAAGTGAGAATGAATTTGAATACTTAAAATGATGTGTTCTCCTCCTTATATAACTTGAGCGGTTAAAACCATTCGCGTGAGAGGAGGTACGTTGTGTGGGTGGTCGTTGGATCTAATCAAATGATGATTGATGTGTTTGGAGGAACCACCTACCCCATGCACTCTTCACTTAATATCACTCTTGAGCTTTTCAGTATGGGCCTTGTGAACGTCTGGCCGACAACATCACTCTTTATGAAAACTATCCTCAAAGAAGCTTCTAGTACCATGCAACCTAAGTTGAATTTGTCTTAGAAGGATGTCTGATCATAGTAACTAGAAGTAGCATTTTCTGTCATTTTTTTCTTTTTTACAGTTGTCCAAAGAATTTTATTGTAGTTTCCAAAAAAAAATCCTATAACCTTACTATAAAACCTAGTGAGTGTGTCACATCAACTTATATAATATTCTAATTTTAAATATCTTACTTTTGGTTGTTTCAACGTCAAAGTGTTTGCAAGTATCTCTACGACAAGACCGCATTGCAGAGACATCAAAACGCAATTCATATCCCATACATAAACCGGAAAATCCATGCTGGATCACACACTATTCACAAGATATTTTAAGTATGTTATATTTGAACTCGTAAAATTATTTAGATTAGATCCAACTATATAACTGTTTGCATATTGAGCTATAATAGTCAAAAGTTAAAGTTTCATGATCCAAAAGTTCTATTGAACTAGTACAAGTCTTCGTTCCATATAAACACGCTCATTATTTTACCTTTCATTTTCAGCGGTTTTACCTTAACATCTTTCAAATTTTCCAATGACTTATTCTAACTCTCCAAGTCTAATTGCTCCATTCCAATTCTTATGAACAGGTATCTTACAAGAGTTTGAAAAGATCCAAATAAATTCCTATATAAAAGGTTTTGACCTGGTGTCCATTAAATTATACCACAATTCATTACAACATATGTGGCAATAAACAATAGAATAAGACATATTCGTATGTTTTCATTCTATAAAACTTGGTCTTTTCTTCCAAGTGGCAATAAATTCAACATTTGAAAAGAAAAAGAAAGGAAGAATAATTAGTAAACAATGATGGCTTATAGAAAGCTCATAAAATAGTTTAACTTTTTGCAGTTTCATATAAACTAATCCCTGCAAATTTCACCAATTTGCAACACCAAAAGCAAAATGTATGTCCAATTCTCCAATCATAATTTCTTATTAATGTTGTTATCTATTTACTTACTTTTAAACTTGATTATTCCAAATGCTTCCTCTTTGTCCTTTAATTTCACTAGTTTTGATCCTAATGACAAGACCATAATCTACAATGGATCAGAAATCCAACTTATGATAAACCAACAAGGCAAGCTCATGAATGGAAGCACTGGTAGAGCCACATAGCAGTTGGATTGGGAATTGGTGGATTTGTTTTGATATGCGTGTTTGTTTTTATTTCCGTTTACTCGTGGAAAAGGTGGAAGAAAGGAAAGGAAGAGGAAGATGGTGAATTTGAAGAGTACATGGGTGAGGACTTTGGAAGAGGGACAGGACCCAAGAAGTATATATATGCAGAACTAGCACATGCAGCTAATAATTTCAAAGATGAACATAAGCTAGGACAAGGAGGATTTGGAGGTGTTTATATAGGTTTTCTTAAAGATACAAAATCTTATGTTGCTATTAAGAGGGTGTCAGAAGATTCTCATCAAGGGATAAAAGAGTTTGCATCAGAAGAAAAAATTATTAGCAAATAAAGTGCTTAATGATTGTTGGTCTTTTGTGTGCTCACCCTGATCCTAATCATAGGCCTTCAATGAGACAAGCTATTCAAGGCTTGATTTTGAAGCTCCACTGCCTAATCTTCCATCAAGTATGCCTGTACCAACATATGCTGAGGGACCTTTTAATTCATTCACAGCTCCATTTAGCCTAAGTGGTTCAGAGGAAGGTCAAAGCAAGAATATAATAAGTTTTAGTTCAAACACAAACTCAACAACTACAACTTCTGATGATGTTTCTCCTTCTATGTCGCTTCTGTATTCTAGATGAAATTAATTTTATTTTAATCTATCTTTCTATCTTTTGAGACTTGTCTTCGTGTATCCTTCCTTAATAATCACATTTTTCTATGTTGGATTTTTTTTCATTCGCTTATTCAAATTGATTCAACTCTAATTAATTATTATTCCTAGCATAACAACAAATCTTTTCTAGAACATTGATTAAAAAATAGTATAGTGATCAAAACAATTTATAGAAACAAGATTATCGGTGAATTGATGAGATGGTGGTGATCTTTGATGCAACTATGCAGAATCTGTAAGGTTAACACTCAATACTCCAATATCAAGTAAATCATTTAACAAAATGGAATGAAGTGAATTATGGGAAGAATCACGTTTAGAATGTGCACCTGATAATTTATATATGATTGATAGTAATTGGACTTACCATCAATCATATGAGATTTGTGGTAAGCAAAAACACTTTCTAGTTTTCTTAGAAAAATATTAATATATTAGTTATTATGTAATATTTTTTCATTAACCACTTCTTGACTATCTTAGAAAATGAATTTTTGAAAACTTAGGTTACTTTTATACTTATATGGATGGATTCATTGAAACATAAGACTCATAAACGTATTGACCAAGACTAATTCAAAGGTAAACCCATTGACTCAATCAACCACCAAACACAATCAATGAACCTTTATTACTAATTAATTACTAATACCATCATTTTCCATCCAACACCAGTACATCACATTTGCAATTATGGCAGCATCTTGCTATTATCATCAGAAAACTCTTGCTTTCTTTTTTGTAACGTTATCAATCTTGCTAATTATAACATCTCATGCAGCTCCACTATCATTCAACTATGACAACCTTAGTAGTGACAAAACAATTGCCTTCAATTTCTCAGGTGATGTCTCTCAAGATAGCCAATCTCTCCAACTCACGAGGTACGAGAAAGACAGTCTAGGTAGAGTCACATACTCAAAACTGTTTCATCTTTGGGACATAAACACAGGTGAAGTCAATGATTTCACTACTCGTTTCTCATTTACTATTAACACCCCCAACAAAACCCATCATGGAGATGGAATCACCTTCTACTTGGCACACCCGAATTTTCCACTACCTGTTCCAAGAGACGGAAGTGGTATCGGTCTCGTGAGCCGAAATCAGTTGAGTAATCCAAATTACACAAAAGAAAATCCATTTGTTGCTGTGGAATTTGATACTTTTGTTAATGATTGGGATCCTAAATATGATCATGTGGGAATTGATGTTAATTCTATCTCCACTTCTTACACGACGCAATGGTTCACTAGTATGGATGAAAGAGGATATGATGCTGAAGTGAGTTACAATTCGAGTTCAAACAACATTACTGTCACCTTTACAGGTTATCAAGATAACAACATAATTCAACAGCACTTGTCAAGTGTTGTTAATCTTAAAGATCATCTACCTGATTGGGTTGAATTCGGATTCACTTCCGCAACAGGGTTCTGGTGGGAGTATCATACTCTTAACTCATGGTCTTTCAAGTCAAGTTCAGATTTTGAAGCAGACAAGGATGGAACAAACACAGGACTTGTCGTAGGACTTAGTGTTATCGGTTGTGCTGCTGTTTTTATTTGTGTTATCGGGTTGGTTTGTTTTGTAAAACGGAAGCTGATGAATAGAGGAATGGAAGATGTTTCGCCGACGGATCTTGAAATGGATAATGATTTTGAAAGAAGCTCTCTACCTAGAAAGTTTACCTATGAAGAACTTGCTACCGCTACCAACAACTTTGCGAAGGAACACAAAATCGGAGAGGGTGGTTTTGGAGGAGTCTACAAAGGATTCATAAGAGACTTAAAAACTCATGTTGCAATTAAGAAGGTTTCTAAGGGATCATATCAAGGAGTAAAGGAATATGCATCTGAAGTCAAAGTTATTAGCCAACTGAGGCAAAAGAATTTGGTTCAACTCTTTGGTTGGTGTCACAAACAAAATGATCTTCTTTTAGTTTACGAGTTTATGGAAAATGGAAGTTTAGATTCTTATCTCTTCAAAGGTAAAGGTTTGTTGACATGGCCGGTGCGATACAACATAGCTAGAGGCTTAGCCTCAGCATTATTGTACCTACACGAAGAATGCGAACAATGTGTACTTCATAGAGACATAAAATCAAGCAATATCATGTTGGATACTAATTTTAACACAAAGCTCGGAGATTTCGGTTTGGCTAGACTAATGAACCATGAGACAGAATCAAAGACAACGGTTCTAGCAGGAACATATGGATATCTATCCCCTGAGGCTGCAACTAGAGGGAAAGCTAGTAGAGAATCTGATGTATATAGTTTTGGAGTAGTTGCTTTGGAAATAGCTTGTGGTAGAAAAGCAATTGAGCCAAGTCTTAGTGAAGAACATGTTTACTTGGTGGATTGGGTTTGGGAGCTTTATGGTGTAGGTGAAATTCTTAAAGCAGGTGATTCAAGATTGTATGGTGAGTTCAATGAGAAGGAAATTGAGAGGTTGATGATTGTTGGACTTTGGTGTACTCATATAGATCATGTTCAGAGGCCTATGATTAGACAAGTTGTTCAGGTTCTTAGTTTTGATGCTCCTTTGCCTACTCTTCCATTACAGATGCATTCATCATTCAATTCTGTGTCATCTAAATACAAGACTAGTGGTTTTGAAAATAACAAAAATGGGACATCATCTTCAAGCAATAGTACCTTCACAGGGTCATCGCAATCAAGCACAGCATTTGAAGTCGTTTCTCCTTCAGCTGCTCTTCTAAATACATACAACACCATTTGATGTTTTGATTTTGATTTTTATTTTTTTATTGAGATTGTTGAATAGTGTTACACATAATCTTTTGCGTGAATCCTTTCTAAGTAATTGTTGAATATCGTTCTTTGCAACAATAAAAAAATTGATTAGGTGTCATTTGGGTAAATGAGAGTCAATATAAAAGCGGCAATTGAATCAATTAAAGCAAAATTCATCCATTTCATTCATCAAAAAATCCATCTAATTCATCCATCACACAAAAAATAAGTTAATGGATTGGATTAAATCCATCCATTTATATACATAGATGAATTCAATTCATCCAACATATTTTAAGGATCCAATGAATTATTTTTATTTTCGTTAGATTTGATTTTTTAAAAATAGATTTTTTTAAAAATAATTAAAAAATTATATTTTTTTTTCTGAAAAAAAAAAGTTTAATTTTTTTGGAAAACAAAATCTTTTTTTTTCAAAATAAAAAACTGATTTGTTTTTCGATAAAAAAATAAAATCTTTTCTCGAAAAAAATATCGATTTTTTTGGAAAAAAAACCGGTTTTTTTTTTCAGAATAAAAAACTGATTTGTTTTTCGAAAAAAAAATTTTCTCAAAAAAAAAACCGACTTTTTTTTTCCGAAAAAAATCGGTTTTTTTTTCAGAATAAAAAACTGATTTGTTTTTGGAAAAAAAATAAATTTTTTTCTCGAAAAAAAACCGACTTTTTTTTTGGAAAAAAAATCGATTTGTTTTCCAAAAAAAGTCGGTTTTTTTTTTCAGAATAAAAAACTGATTTGTTTTTGGAAAAAAAATCATTTTTTTTTCAGAATAAAAAATTGATTTGTTTTTAAAAAAAACCGACTTTTTTTTAAAAAAAAAATCGATATTTTTCAAAAATTAAAATATCAATTTTTTTTTAAAATACAAAAAATTCAGTTTTTTTAATAAATATATTAAAAAAAAATATTTTTAAATATAAAAAATAAAATTTTCAAAAATAAAATAAAATCAATTTTTTAAAAATAAAAAATATATTTATTTTTACGAAATAAAAAAAAAGTTGGATGGATGGATATCCATCCATTAAAAATATGTTAATTGATGGATTGGATGAATTTTATTCTTAATGGATGGATTGGATTGGATAATTTTAAGAAAATTTTAGTGGATTGTTAATTAATGGACTAATGAATTGTTTTAATCCATTCATTAACAATTCAATCCATATTCATCCAATCCATTCATTTTGTCACCCCTAAGTCAATATAGTTGCATCACTTGGGACAAAGTAAAACCTACTAGTACAAGTAAATCTTTATTTTCAAACACGCCATCCTTTGTTTCTTTTCTGTTTATGATCAAACAGGCCATTCTAAATTCTTAATTAAACCTTTTAGATTTTTTTGTTTTTTGTTTCCATAAGTTTCGACTTATAGGCCGTCTATAAACCACAATTTCCTATAATCAAAATATATTTTAAAATACAAATATGATAAGATATTATATTTCGACAACAAAATTAAATATTTAACACTGCAGATTACATGATATAACTTATGAGGGATTAAGAATTTCTTGAATTGATAAAAGCTCTCGTACGAGGGATTCAATATTACTCTTGCCAACGGCAATTTCCTATAAACAAATTATATTTTAAAATACAAATATGATAAGATATTATATTTCGATAACAAAATTAAATATTTAACACTATGGATTACATGATATAACCTATGAGAGAATTAGAATTTTCTGAGTTGATAAAGCTCTCGCTCAAGAAATTCAATATCTCCTCGGGCGAGATCGCTCTCAAAAATCACGCTTAAGGGTCACATTGCCGACATTTTGTATATTTCTGTGCATTTCTGTAAATTTTTACGCAGCTTCCACTTTTCAAGGGTTGCATCTGTTGTAAGATCTGCCTATTTACAGGCCATTTGTCAATAAAGCATATACTATTCAGTGAATTGTTGTTTTCGCTTTAGCCTTTACTGTTTTGTTTGCGAAAAAACGCCCGATGATTTGATAAAATATTGCATACATAAACTTGCAGGCTTTGCCCATAATCATTAAAACTTTGATTTATTTGAACAATGTCACGGATGATGACCGAGATAGCTCCCTTTGTGCAGGATATCTTGTTGTTTGTTCATGTGCAGAGTCGTTACCCTTGGGGCAAATTCCCAGAGGTGTATCCCCGATAGGATCACCATCCCCACATAAAGAAGATGCGTAGTTGAGACTCATTTTCCCCGGCAAGGGCCTGTTTCTACCGGTTGAGTGTGTACACGTACCCCCAGCAGAATGTCTGTATGCACTCATGCCTCGGCAGTTCAAGATTGGCTTATTCGGCAGAGTAAGTAATCCCCATAGGGTCGAGATTGATATACCCCATGCAGGTCAGGTAGGTGCCCGTATCCTCAGCAGATTGTAGGTATGCACTTACTTCCCAGCAAGTCGAGACTGGATTCCTCTCCACCAGACAAGTTTGGAACGTTTCCCGGTGGCGGAGTAAGTTCAGGATTTGTTTTCCCCACAGAGTCCAAATTTGTGACTTTGTGTACACTCAGAGCTTAAAGTGGCGATTCCGTCCCCGAGCAGAGGTCGAGGTTGTTTTCCTTCTCGCTTAATTCCCTAGAGAAGTCAGCAGAGCAATTATTTCTTCCCCACAAATTAAGGTTGATTCAGAGATTGCTATTCTCTATCCTCAGCGGAGAGAGTTTGGGATAGTTCCTTGATAAATCTTGTTTGGTTATCCCCAGCTGAGTAATCCCTGACAGGTTGGATTTTTTTGATCTTCAGCAGAGCAGAGTTGCTCCCAGATGCGTGTTTTGTACCCTAGAAGGACTTCGGTGTTCTATGAGGCCATTTAGGGCTGATTTCCCCAGTGAAGCGAAATTAATCTCAGTGGTTGATTGTTATCCCCTGCAGAGTCGTTGATTTCCCCGTTAGGTTGGATTCAATACCAATTGGTTGGGTGTCTTTCCCCAGTCGGGTCGTCTATTCCCCAGAAGAGTTGTACTCTGGAAGGCCGTTCAGGGCGTTTTTCTCAGCAGGTTTTGAGTTAATCTTCAGTGGAGTGGATTTTTGTTCTCGTCATAACAGTATTACCCCAGAAATTTCTGTTCCAGGAGGCCATCCAGGGCTTGTTTTTTCCAACTTAAGTCCAATCGTACTTGGCACGTGTTACTTCTCTCCGGCAGAGTTGGCTTTGTCTTTTCAACATTTATTTTGCTGATTCGGTGTCGTTGCATTTTGCATTGTGCATAGCTTCCACCAAACGCGTAGCATTTCCATTTCGTATGGAGCATTGCGCCATTTTCAAACATATGCATTTGAAACATAAACTAGGTTGTTATCTCTTGCTTTCAGGTGTATTTCCAGCAGACCGATTTTGTTGGCTCAAGCATGTGCGGTATCTAGACCCCCGGCTTCCTCCGGTTATTTCAGTTAGCCTGTGCAGTATTCAGACCCCGGCTTCCTCCGATTATTTCGGTTAGCCCGTGCGGTATCCAGACCCCGGCTTTCCCCGGTTAATGATGTTCTCGAGCCCGTGTGGTATCCAGACCCCGACTTGCACCATTTTATTTTCATTAACCCGCGTGGTATCCAGACCCCGATTAATGACGTTCTTGAGCCCGTGTGGTATCCAGACCCCGGCCCACCTCGGATTGTTCCATTAGCATGTGCGATATCCAGGCCCTGGCTGATATTGGTTATTTCTTGAGCCCGTGTGGTATCTAGACCCTGGCTCACCTCGGATTCTTCCATTAGCATCTGAGGTATCCAGACCCTGGCTGATGTTGGTTATTTCTTGAGCCCGTGTGGTATCCAGACCCCGTCTCACATCAGATTGTTCCATTAGCATGTGTGGTATCCAGACCCTGGCTGATGTTGATTATTTTCTGAGCCCGTGTGGTATCCAAACCCCAGCTCCAACCAGTTCACTCGTTTTTCCTGTAGGGTATCCAGACCTTGGCAGATTATAAAATCTTCTCTCGCCCGCACGGTATCCAGACCCCGACAGATGGTGATTTTGATGGATGCGTCCATTTTACCTTTGCCTCTCCAACAGAAGGTCTACAGTTTCGTTTTGGGGGTTGGCAAATTTTCGGTTTCTTTGGTATTCAACCGTCTTTTACCTTGAAGGTTTGAAAGTCGTTCGCTTTTCATCCCTTCAGGTCCAAGTCGCTTGAATAGGGGCAGCTGTTGTACCCCAAAATTTGACCAACCACTTCTTGTACTTGGCTTATGTTTCTTTGCATTTTCGCATTTTTACATGTCATAGCATTTGTTCTTAAGCTAGGGGATCAAGGTTTTCGTGTGGCTCAGGGTTTTCTTTGGTGTGAGGGACCAAACAACGAGCATCGGCTCCGGCATTTATTTTGCCCAACGATCGAGCGGTCGATTTTATTTTATTTTGCAGGATATTTTTAGATCAAAAGGCAACATTCAAGCTATCTCAAGCATCCTCATGGTTGTAGTATTCAAGAGCAAGTTTTAGAGGCTGAACAAGGCTTAGAAAGGATGAAAATGGGCAAATAGGCAAATTTCCCTCTAGAAGGCGCCAAAATTCAAAATTTTAAGGTGTTAACCGATTAACCAATGCAAAATCAGGTCAAATTTGAAATTTTGAAGGTGTTAATCGATTAACCCATATGGTTAACCGATTAACCAAGGCAATTTCAGCTCTACACATGAGTTTTTTTCAAGTGTGCCACTTTGGGGTCCATTTTGATCACTTGAGAATTTGATTTTACACCAAAGGAAGGATCTAGAACCACTTTGAATTTTGATTAGTTTTCAAATTAATTAAAATTCCCTCCAATTTCCCACTCCTAATCTCGTTCCAATTTTCACAAACCACACTCCAAACCACATTTGGATCCTAACCAAGAGCATATTTAAATGATTTTCTCCAAACCTCACACACGCAATCCTCATAATTCCATTTCATTTTTAGAATTCATTCACTCTTGAATTTTGCTCTCAACTTTTCCATCTCCCAAACTCCACTAAAGCTCT